GAATTCCGCAACATGCACCTTTCCCACAGCGGTCGCTCGCCGACTAACACAACTGATTCATTTAGAAATGCTCTGCGTAGTAGGAAACGGAACTGACCCGACCCCGCTCGAACACGTCCGAGTGAGACGACACAAGACAAGGTCGGTGTGGTTCGCTTTTGTTCGGCGTCATCCGCTGTAATTCGGATTCATGATCGTTGACTTCTATATAAATAGAAGTGCGATTGCGAGATAACACAGTCTATCAAACGTAATAACCGCTTTATCTTTTTTGCTCGTGCTGTCGCACTATGACGCGATAAATCGTTAATGGACGCTTATTAATGCTATGGTAAACGTCAAAAATAAATATTTATCATGCAGATTTTAAACCTATTATTTTATCATAAATATATTATCAAACGAAAGAAAAAGTTTTTATATTTTCTTTACAAATCATAAGAAATAATTTAAATGGCTTTTAAAGTTATTTATTTTGGTAAAGGTCAATTTATTTAATAAATTGAATTTTTTTTTAATAATTCAGGATAAATACAATGCATTCATGAAAAATCAATTGCTAAATTATTATTATCAAGCAATAGCCCATATGTCACATATGTGCACACATGTCCATAATAAAAGTACAACATCTGTGTATTTTGTTTTTATCTGGTAACACTAAAGACTATGGAATAATCCCAAACGTGCATGAGACGATGTATATATACTGTTGCTATACGCGTGTTATAAATATAACTCATTAGGTTAAAAATAAAGGCAAGTTATGACGCACAACTAAGATTATAATTCTAAACAAAATGGAATTTTATCAACGAATAATCAATAGACAAAAATTAGTTCTAACATTTTATTTTTCAACGTAACGTGCTTTAAATTGTTTATGAACGGATTAATTTTGATAAATATGGCGCGTATATATAAAAAAAAACGAGATGGGGAATTAACCAAAGCTCAATCAAATTATGAAAAATATATGTAATCGATTATTACATTTTTTGAAAATCAAGTTTTATTACACTTATTGTCTTTAATTTCTACTTGCAATCTTCCCACGTTGTTTTTTTTCTTAATTCCCATATCTCTACGATTCTGAAATACGAATAGGTTATTTCTACTCGCATTTTATATTTATAATTATAATATAAATATAATAAATATTTTCAGAAATATATTTAATAAATTTTAAATATGATTAAGCAAATATTTGTTGGATAATTGAACTTCTATATCTCCTATATTTATCATGGATAAGAAAATGCAACGATAGTATAAAAAGGTATTGTTCATAAATAAATTTTGAATATTATATTTTTATACTATTGTTACATTTTCTTATCTATGATTATTATAGAAAAAAATAAAAAAAAAACGAGATTGAGAAATTTGCGAGTTTCAAATTAATAGATGTTCAATTATCCAATAAATATTTGTTCAATCATATTTAAAATTTATTAAATATTTTTCTGCAAATATGGATTATATTCATATGATAATTATAAAAATAGAGATAATTAAAATATAATTTTGGTAAATTTTTACTTCCCGTAAGTTACAGTAATCGCAAAAAAAAACGAAAATGAAAATTTTTATATATATTTACGTTTCAGAGGTTTCTGAATATTTTGGCATACCTTAGAAAAAATGGATGTATGTGTGTGCGTGTATGTATGTGTGTGCGGATACAAATTTTCGTCGACGATTTCGGGAACACGGATGAAGCAATTTGAATAATTCGAAAAACATTCGATTCGTATTGATTAGAAGACGTGCTGATTAGTTTTTGGCGGAGGCAGGTCTAGCCGTTCCGAAGATATGGGGCAAAAAGTGCCAAAAACGGTACCTCAGTTTTTAAGAAAACGGAGCGTCCGATTTTAATAATTCAAAAAACATTTTACTTATATTGACAAGATGAAGAATTGATCAAATTTTCATAAGGGCAGGTCTAGCGGTTTCGGAGATCCAACGAAAAAAGTAAAAAAAAAAATGCCATTTGGCGGTCAAAAATGGTCATTAGACATATGCACATCAAATTATCAGATATTTTATAGAGATTTTAAAAGTAAATATAAATTTACATTCCTATGGGTTCTGTACCTATGTTTATCCGTTAGACAGCGACGCGGCGCTTACGCGCTTTACATTTTGTCTCTATGCAGTTAAAGCAGTACGATTGCTTTGAAAAAAAGTTGAGATCTTCCAAAATATGTCAAAATAAATAATTTTCTTTTTAAATTTTTTTTGTTAAAAAAAAAGTAATTTTTTGTCCAATTTATAGTTTCTCAAAAATCTTATTTTTTCGAAGTAATTTATTTTCAAAAATGTTAATCGTTTTTAAAAAAAAATAATAATTTTTGGTACGGGAAGTTCCAGCAATTTGCCTTAAGGTACGATGCCTTAATTGTCTTAAGACAGAATTCCACTTACAGCTAGTTTATAATCTACTTCAGATAAATCTACAAAAACAAATGTTTTAAATTTCCTATTGATTAAATCTTGAAAGAATTAGTAGCAGACATCACTTTCGGAGTTGCTGTAATTTGATTGGCCGATTATGTGCCATGACATTATGTTTAACTTATTGACAGTTCCGACCCGGCACCGAGAAATATTTTGCCATCGCAGATTCGCCATTTAATTCAAGTACGTTGTATGTACTCTAAACAGCAACTCAGAAAGAGATGTGGCAAACGCAAAAGCAAAAGCAAAGCGCTAAGCATTACATATCAGCACTAAAGCAGCCGCAATGTTTCGCAGTTATGGGAGAGTTCAATGATTCCGTGGCACTTGGTTGCGTTTGTTGCGCGGCCAGACACATACCGTGTGCCCACGCTCGCTGTAAACCAGGTCGTATCACCATAATACGTAGACATCATCGCCAGCCACATTGCACCAGGCATTCTTAAACAGTCGTACACGAATTGCTTTGTTTTTTTTTCTATTTTTTTTTCTTGTTGATTTACTGCATTTTTTATTATATTACTTTCTTCAAGACGAATATTATTAGCCCATTAGTATTAATTACACTAAATTGTCTTTTTTATCGAAAATATTGTTTTTTGTTTGATAACAATGAAATGGTGGTACGATTTTAGCTCGATTAAATTTTAAACTGCAATTACATGGTTGTAGTAGAGATTTACAAGGAAGATAAAGATAGCTGCTAGATGATTTCATTTATTTTTGTTAATTATTGTAAATAGTCTTATTTCTTCATCATTTAGAATAAGAAAAAAATTAAAAATGTTCAATTAAACAAATAATTTTTGAACCAATACTATAAAACTATATTTTGATTTAAATCCGATAAACTTTATCATACCAGAAATTTAACAAATCGAGTATATAAAACAACACGTTATTATTTGCGAAAATGAGGGGCCAATACTCGGATAATATAGAAATGTTATGTTAAGGCGTTAGAGGTCCGTAATCGTATGAGTTGCTAATCACGAATTGTCGAAACTGTTAAAATGTCTTTACTGTTCGATCAAGCTATTCACACATAAAACCTTACTTCCAATTGGCTCAAACGACATCATTTTAACTTTGGTCAGGCTTCACGTATATGCTATCAATATAACATCAGAAAGTTGCCCTTATGATAAAATTGTTATTTGACATTTGCGCCTTTTGTTGGTAAGATTTTATGTCCGAAACGCTAGATCGAACAGCAAAGCTATTTTACAGTTCGTGACTACCAACTCATACGATTATAGACCCGTAACATAACATTGAGCTCAATTTGTATATTTTTTTTAATTTTTTCTTGATGTCTTATTGATTTATCATGATGAAATAGAGCTATCTGGAGTTATCATAACTAAATATCAAGTGTATTTGATGAAATATTTATATTTTTACATAGTATGTTATTATATTCAGTACGATATTATTTTCATTTGAATTCAAAGTATATCCTATCCATCTGTTTTACACGTTTTCGATCTTACACGGCTTTTGAAAATAAACTTTTTCAATGAAA